CTATATATTATAAGATTTAATAAAATATCCAAGAAATATCAAGAATATAACTATATTGAAAGAATTAAGAACCTCTTATCTAGTCTTTAAAGATTATATAGTTCTAATATTTTAGAATCAATTACAGCCTCTCTAGACTTCTTGTTATTGTAATATCCAAAGTGTAAAGTAGCTATTTTATATAGGACACGGGCCTGGAATACTCGCTTGCGTGGAATGTTCGGTTGCCGGTTACGTTAAGTCCATGACTAAAATTAGCTAATCAAACTGTGGTCACTACAAACTTCAAAGTACTACAGAGTAGTTGTTTACAGAGTACAGAGTAATGTAACCGGTAAGCGGCTCGGCCATGGTAGACCGATCACCTCTGTATTCCATACAAGATAGCACATTTTCAAATATCGGTATCTCAATACGGAGGCGGGGGCGGGGGCGCGGTTCCCAAAGTAATCAAACTGCGCTAGCAATATTGGCCTCAGGTATAAATAGAGCCCATACTATACATTTGATAAGCAGTCTATAGCCACGTGACTTGGAACCAATAGAAAATACAAATTCTTTTTGAAGAGACAGCCAATTGGCCAATAATCACATGACAAGAAGACAAAAATGCTTACTACTAGTATTGACTCTCAGTCACATGGTTTTAACCCGTATAGTAAACGCTTTACCTCCACTTAAGGCCAATATTACTAGCGCAGTTCGATAACTTTTGGAATACATCTCTGTTGTGTTAAGGAAGAGCGGAAGCTTATGTAATCAGACTGCTTATCAGCCAGTAGGTTCCCGTCAATGACACAGCAACTACTTACTGAGTGCCCAACATATACTATTAATTTGACACAGTATTGGTACTTTTTATATATAACTCGAATATCAGTAGAAATAAAATCCTATCAAATATAAATTACAGCTTTATATAAATAATACTATAAAATTTACAGTAATTTATTCTATTCCGGTAATTAAAAATTACTAAAAGCTATAATGTTTGAAAATTATTCTTTTAATATACAATAGACTATATATAAAATATAAAGTAAATTTCAATTAAATCGATTGAGATATTGGTGTTCGAAATAAGGCTATATTGTATAGAATACAGAGGTGATCGGTCTACTGTCTGCCTACATGATCGGCCCGTTTACCGACTACGTTAGGTAATTACTGTATTAATAACGAACTGGTACTTTGTGTTCAAATATTCGAATTATTTTCTGTATACGGTGTACAGACTCAACATATATTGATTTTATATGCAGCATTTCCTATGATGATAAGAATAAATAAAGGGCAGAACTTGACTTTTGCCAAGTAGACCTAATCGCTGTACAAAACAAAGAAGTGATGGAGATAGATTATCTCTACCCCGACAGAGTTCACGGACCTTCCCCCGGTTCTGTTTCTCACTTTTTTTTTTTTTTTTTAGTAATCCAAGAAATCTCCGTTCTCTTCCACCTTTGTTGCGATTGCCGCTTTACCTCTTTAGCTTCCCAACTAGTCGTCCTATAACTTTGCATCTCTGTAACTTCCTTTTTGGAATTTTCTCCTTCTTTTTGCCATATCTCTCCTAGCTTTTCTTTCAAAATGGGTTGGTTCTGGGCAGACTCCCCGTCGCAACCAACACCTGTGGTTCCGAACCCATTGGCATCCTCAGACACCACCGTTAGTCACCATATTTTCATGTATACTTGTTCAGGCCACTAATACTGCCTCACAGCCAGCATGTCCAATGCACACGGGCAACCTGTCGCCTCCGGTGTCATCCTCAGTTCCTGAACCACCTAGTGCCTGTCCCGTCCGGTCTAAAGACTCTCCCTTCTATGTGCCACCGAAGTCGAAATCTTCAGATATGCCAATGCCTTCTAAATCAGAAAACAAATCAACCTTATCCAAACTGAACCCTTTGAACTATATGTTCTCCTCCATCTCTCAGGAACGAGCACCGGACCAAATCGTCGACCTGCCGCTGGAGCGTGAGCCTTCCTCTATACCCCGCGGAGATACAGATAGCAATTGGGAGTATCCGTCTCCTCAGCAAATGTACAATGCTATGTTGCGCAAAGGTTACACGGATACCCCTCAGGATGCAGTGGAAGCAATGGTTGCAGTGCACAACTTTCTGAATGAAGGCGCTTGGGAGGAAATTGTCGGATGGGAACGCATATTCTCGAAAGGTCTAAAAAATGGCTGGGAAAAGTGCCGACGTGGCGAGGAAAACATCGCATTAGATGCTGCCAGGGAAGTGACAGATGCTGCTGCTCAGGAGAATCAGCCACGCCTTCTCAGGTTCAAAGGTCGGCCGCAGGAGCTTACTCCAAAGGCGCAGGTTCTGCAAACACTAGGTTGGCTGTATCCAGCAAAGTTTGGGTTAGTACCCCAGTTGCCCTCCCCTTGTGCTTGGCATGCCGTTGTATTGTGTTGCTGATATATTCTAGAACACCTGCACCGTTCGATCGACACGACTGGTTTGTGATGCGACAGACGCCATCTGGCCCGAAAGAAGTTCGTTATGTGATTGATTACTATTCAGGGCCTCCCGAGCCTACAGGAGAGCCAGTCTTCTATCTGGATATCAGGCCTGCTTTGGACACACCTACCGCTGCTATCGAACGATTGATGAGATGGGGAGGCGATGTTTGGTGGCGATCTACTGGTGCTGTAGTTCGAGAAAATGGCGGGAACTAATGGCGTAGTTCGACTGCTGATGATATTGTTCTTCAGCGATGATGACTCTCCACTCACCTGTATACTGAACAAGGCGCGGGCGTCTGATGGCCCTCCATAGGGACGCATCATTCTATATCTTTCTTTTCTTACCTTCCCTGCTTCTCTATACACCCTACTTAATTATTTCATTTTCCTTGTCTAAACATGAAATGGCTTTCTTTCGGCTATACGGACTGCCAGGGAGATAATGATGGCGATGAAACAATGGCGTCTACAGTTGTTATTCGGGACGAAATACATGCCACCCATGCTCATTTGGGGTCTTTCTAGCATTTTCCCTCTAAGAGGCTATGTATTGATACAGTAGTTTGTCTGGGGAAGTCTATATGGCCCCGTAGGAGTAGTTTTTCCGATATAAGGGCATCGCCCACCAAAACTAAAATGACGGGAAGATTAGTGCTGAAAATTTTCCGCTGCTAGTGTAGAATTCCATTTACCTAGAGGCGACATTCTAGATTCACCGGAGACCAACTATTTTGCTGTAGACGACGCAATCCTTAGGAGTAGTAAGGAGTTGAGGGCGGTCTGCGTATGAACAGATACAACACTTCCTACTCTACGCCATGTCAAAGGATTGCTACTTTCCAAATCAATTACAGATGATTTTTTTTTCGGACGTTCTGCAACATGCTCGCAGCTCATGGATCTTTGGAAACAGGCTGTAAGTTAAATCATCGAGTATCCTTTTATACGTGATCTACTACTAATCCAACTTTATCTGTCGTTATAGTGTACACAGGGGCTGGGGCGAAATTTCACTAACATATCAATCCTCCTTGTGGAGTTCCCAGCCCTATTCTATGAACGTTCCGAGTGGAGCGAAAAAGTATGCTATCCCGGATTCCTCGGTCTCTTTTCTTAGATATTAGGGGATAGCATATCAGATTTGACGCACAATTCGACGGTCTCAATGCTGGCTTGAAGCAAGCCTCGCGCTTCAAGTCCAACCCAAACGCGGAGCATGGAAGTGTCTCCCGATCGAACCGATTTCAAGAATGTAGTATTAGATCCAAGTTTCCGCAAAATAGGGAGGGCACTAAAGCAAGGAAGAATTAATTGTCGTTTATAATTAGATGTACGGGGTACCAAACACTCTCAAGGTCCTCGAGAAGTCAGTTATCTACTCACCTTTTGAAGAGGTCGAGATTTGGATCAAGACTCCGTCCGATACCTTCTAGAAGAAGGATCGATATAACAACGTTGACAAAATCTCCTTCAAGCCGAACATGGTAGCCTCGAACCATGGACAACACTTCGCTTAGCACGTCTCCAATACTAATATTGCCAAGCGCAAAGGTTCGTGACTTGACGCTGAGGACTAGATGCTGCATTTTCAGCGCAAAAACCTCGGGGTCAGTGACCTCCCCTGGCTGACGGCATCGTTCGACCATGAGCTGACCCGCTCGATACCCATCAAATTCTGCGACAGCGCGGAAGAGGTCAAGGAAGTTTCGCCGATTAGTATCGTTGAGCTGGGTTACTAAGCCAGTATCAATGAAGATAAGTTGTGGACGATAGCCTTCCGCATTAAGCTGTTCAAGAACCCTCTCCCAATCTTCTGGACTATGGGCATGAGGTCGTAGTCGTGCAAGTACCGCCTCTGTTACATCAACGTCCGCCGCGGTTGGTGCATCGGACGCCCTGGTATGTTTGCGGAGTGAAAGATCTAACTCACTCGGTTGGTAAAACCGAACCATGATATTACCGGGATGCAAATCCGCGTGAACAAAATTGTCAATTAATAACATGTGGAGGAATGCGTCTAGGCCTTCGTGTGCAATTTCTTGCTGAAAGATACCCCCTCCGACGTCAAGGAAGGTTGATAGAGGAATGCCCTGCGCAAATTCCTCCACGAGCACCTCGCGGGTTGTGTAATCCAGGTAGGGGTATGGAAACCAAGCGGTGGTTCGCGATTTGAACTTTTCACGAAACATGACCAAGTTACTCGCCTCGATGCGCAGGTCCAATTGCAGCCTCATCATCTCTCCAAATTGATAGACCTCGTCTGGTAAAGATAACCAGTGCATAGTGGGGATCGCATTGATTAGTGAAGCGAAGAAAGACATTATCTTTAAGTCCCTTCGAATCACACGCTCGACTTTAGGGTGCAGCACTTTGACGGCTACATATGAAGAAGGAACTCGCTGGGGCGTACTCTTCATCAGTACATCGACATTCTTTCGGACCTTATCTCGTAAACCCTGCATTTCTGAGACTTCCTGGACCTGGGATACCGCTAGGTTTGGTTTCAATCTTGCTTTGTAAACTTGTGCAATGGCTCCCACCCCTAAAGGCTCCTCATAGAACTCCTCAAAGATATCTTCAAATGGTAGCCCGTTGAAGGCCTTGCAAATAGTTTTCTTAGTTTCTAGTAACGAGTGCGAAGGGGCATTTGAATGGAGAGACGACATGATGTTACACAATTCAGGAGGGAAGATATCAGTGCGTGAAGCCGCCCATTGTCCGAGCTGATAGAAGAAAACCATAACAGATATCAGTATGCACGCTGCAGATTATCTGAACTTCTAGTAGGTGAACAGGGATGGTGTCCTACCTTAATGAAGGCCGGTCCCGCACGCTCCATTGACCTGACGAGGAAGTTATACCACCACAGTGTCCCGCTCCGTACATCTTTGCGGGTCTTGAGGCGCTTGCCGAACCATACAACTGGGACTGTAAGGATGACAGGCAAGAAAACAACCACAAGATGCGCAAATCTGAGCCCTGTGGCAACCGGATCATATATGTAGTAGTACCAGAAGACGAAAAGGGACTGTTGAAGCCTCGATAAGCCCCGTGCATCCTGGGTGACGCTCTTTTGGATCTCTTGGCGCGAAGCTTCTAGCATCTGCATCTCACCCGTCTTTTCATTTCCATCACCTTCCTCCACCAACTTCAAAAACGCGCCGGGGGTTAATGAAGAGAGTAATAACGTCCCTGGCATATGCATCCGGCTTTGGGATCTCCGCTCAAGCCCCTGTCGCCATGACGGCGGCCGGCTGAAGCGCCATCGAACCGGCAAGATGAAGCGGGACAGTAGCTGCGGAGTTCCACTACGGCTCGAACAGAAACGGCCAAAGAGGACGGCCGTCCTCATGTTCTCATGCGAAGTTCAGATTATCAATTGTTGACAGTTTCATTTGATAGCTAGGGAGATGGCGACCGCGAAGGTTGGACTTGGCCAACCGCGAGGACCCATCGGACATTCGGAGCCGTTTCACGTGTCGGCGACGTCATACACAGTACATAAACTGTAAATCAAATATACGCAGTAGATGAATTAAATTCATTTTCGATCCCCCACTCCAACTTGTTTCCAAAATTGGGACGGAGATGAAAACTAAACAAAACCAATCTTGAAAACTTCCCCTTGCGGGAATGCATGCAGCATTGTGCCTTTTCCTCTCCGCATTCCGGATAAAAAAATGACCAGCCACCCATAGTTATCTAATTCCGGATTCATCTTGGAGTTGTTGTCACCACTTCCTATGATTCCCTACAACCCTACAATGTCTGAAAACGGGGGCATGATGGTGATCTTAAAATATTTGTTATAAATTCACTAGTGACAGTAGATACTGGACGTATGGAGACCTGTCAGTTGCTCGCTCTGGGATAGATGCATCGGTATGCAACCCTGTCATGGGTCGCCTTGACTCTATTTGCGATGCAAAACTGCATGGCAGGAACGATCGTTCACGCCATTTCTGTTTACCTGCATTGACCTGGTGCGCTGTTAGCTGTATATGCATATTTATAGTTTTCGTCAGCGTATACTTCTCAAGGTATTCACTTTTCGAGCTGGGCCTGTTGCCTCTTCTTACTCAAAGAGTGAACCCGGCACCGTTCCACGCTTACTCCAAAAAATTTGGACCGTTCGAGAAACCAAAAGATATCAGGATTGTTGCACTAGTACCCTTTCATAGCCATGAGCGAACGGGGATACTGGATTGCTACCTTCAAGTGAGTTCTGCCGGCGTTGCATATCATCGTGGCCATGTCTGACTTGACTTGCAAAGAGAAACCTCATCGATAACCATGGATTCCTCGATCAAGTAATATTTATCCCGCAGACAAATAACACAGAAAGTCTAGAATGGCTCGCGTCTACTGTGAAACGCACTCCTCTCTATCAAGTCTTGGGGTTCGGTGATTATATCCAGTGGGGTGGCATGGATGGGAATGTGATTTTTATCAAAATAGATGGCGATATCATCTTTTTGGAGGATCATACGGTCTCTACGATTGTCAAAACCAAGCTTGATCACCCTGATTCCTTAATAGTTTCAGCAAATGTTATTAATCAAGCAGCTCTTCAAGCCCTCCATAGCCATACTGGTGTTGCCCTTCCCTATCTCCCCGAGCTTTCTTCCTCCGACCAGTCTCGAATTCCTTTCACCCAGGATTGGCGGGCCACAGACCTTCCAGCCTGGGAAGGCCCTGCTGATTTCAAAATACTAAAGGGATATGCTCCTCCCTCTGGGAGTCATCGCTGGCTTCCGTCGGCGGATGAGAATGGGGATCGAACACCCATTGGCATGTCCATATATGGTGACAACGGGCCTGCACTGGATGACTGGACGGTCCATGCACAGCAACACTATTCATTCCTACAACATCTCGAAGACGGCGATCTATATCGGTATAAATTTCCCGTGTGGGTTGACCCCATCGATAGTATTAGTCCCAACTTCCTTTGTCTACGGGCAGGCGACCCAAGCATTGTGAAGTCTATCATTCAACAGGACGCAGAGAAGCTATCCTTAGAGGTCGCACAGAACGTTCTGGGTAGCGATCCAGGCGCTATAATCGACGGGAAAGGGTTAGCTGCGCATTACTCCATTGAGGCAAGTTTTGGGGGGCTGGACTCTACTGATATCCTCCATCGATATCGAGCGTATGCTGAGGAAATGGTTTGCCCAGATACTTTTTGACCCTACTTAATTCCATCTGTACTTAATAATAATAGAGAAACGATCATCTCTGGGGATAATTCGACGTTTCATAAATATATAATACTTGTCTCTACCCGGTTATTGAGCTTTTTTAATACCTGTAAGCTTAGGCTAATCTAACTATAATGTGTTCTGTATAATCCTGAGGCTGTGTCGAAGTGCAAACTCAACGTTCTCTGGTGCTTTCCAAGTACTGCAAGACCTGGCTGCTCATCAGGCCTTGTAGCGTACTTTTGGCCGATTCTGAAAGTTGAATAGGCTGCAAAGTGTTTAGTATTACCCCGAAGCGCCATTCTGAGAGCACCGCATAACTTACATCTTGTTTCAATATTTCCTGGATGAGGATGATTATGTTGTCACGATCTTTGATTAATTGCAACTTGTCCTCTCCGTCCATTGAGCCAAGGGATTCCGCGGTCAAGCTTTGCTCAAGAGTTGGGAACAGACCCATCTTCTCTATGCAGTCTACAGCAGTAGCAGAGCCTGGCTGGCTAGATGCCATCAACGCGAGGGCAAACCAGCCTTCGCTCCGAACAACGGGCCACTGTGATTGAGAGATCATAGCACCTATTGGGAAGGCAATGCCTCATGAATGCTAAAGAGATGCTTGATGGTGGCATCTGCTTTTTCATTTTGTTCATGTGATTTCGGGATGAGAGTACGACATATCGATGCTATGATGCGTCCAATTTCAGTCCTAATAGGGGTGGAGTCCGTTTTCTCGAAGAGTGAAAGCAACTGTGAGAGATAAGTACCGTGGTGTTCATCCCCGGGGGAAATCTCTAGCAAGTGTGATACATTTTCAAATGAAGCAATGATAACCTGCCGTACGATGCTGGTGGCTGCGAATTGAACTTGTGGTACCGTCTCGTATTCCCAGAGACGGGAGACCGCAGGGATGATACCAGCCTGTCCCAGATACAATCTATTATCTCCAGCGATTGCCAAATTCTTTAAGAATCCTAGTGCAGCATGAAGGACGGCTCCCCTAGCGTCACTCGTAACGATTGATATCAAATCCCGGTGGATGTTCAGGTCTCGGACCATCGCTTGACATGTTTCATCTGAACGCGCCAAGTTTCCTAACATGACACAGGAGCAGATCTGTAGTTGATCCTCCGTTCTCTGTAACCAGCTTCTCAGCATCCGTGAAAGATCAGATCCAAGGGGGTAGTATTCAGCGAATAATGGTGCCCCGGATATCTCTGCTAGCGTTTGATTGATCCTTAACTGAACCTGTGCCAGTACTTGAATATCATCAGTGGAGGGCCATTCTGTGTCGAAATTTAAGGATTTGCTAAGCATTGACAATATGTCAGCTACCATGTATTTTGTTATGCAGATATCCTGAAACCGTTTATTATCGAGATATGCCATCGAGCAAGTCGCAATGCAAGAAAATCGAGAAGCGGTATGGGCAACGTTCTTATGGGCGGCAAGATCAACAAGAAGCGAGATGGTTTCATCAGGTGACAACTCTATCCCTTGTTCTGCATGGGCCTGTTAGAAGCAAGTAAAGGGGAGGGGGAAGGGCTACATCAAACCTTGCTCCGTAGTTAGTTCTATGAGCTCATAGATAAAATCGAGTAAATTTTCGTTGTCCTTGAATGAATCCTCCCTTAGTAATTTCAGAAATATGTAAACTATTTTACTTGAAGCCAGTTGTGACTGGGCAGGCTCTATGAATCGTTAGTAACCAAGTACAGCTCGATTCAATATACCTCACCAAAATCAATGCAAATATTGTAGATAACAGGTATTACTATCTGTATGAGTTCGGGATTCAGAAGATGTTGGATGATAGCAGAAATATAGTTTCCTTTCACAACGATTGTTCTATTTTCGTCTAAACAAAACATAGTGAGCGCTGTGATAGAACCTGGATCTGTAACACTGAACAAATTGGACTTACCAGTGTCGGCACATGAATTCCCAATCAATCGCAAAGCATGGAGGAGCAGACCAGTACCAACATCCTCCTTTGAAGCAATAAGTTGGAGAAAAAAGGTTAAAACACCGCTCTGTCCGTACGGAAGTCGCCACAATGCTGTGAATGTATCAACAATGAGACTAATCAGCATTGATATTGTATTTGGACTTACGGTTCCTACTTCCGTTTGCCAAAGCCTCTGCAGCTTGCACCATGAAGCTTGACTTGCATGCCCAGAGCCTATACAGAGTATCTTGGAGGCCCTCGAAAAGAGCATCGACTTGCTTGAAGGAAGGATTATCTTCTTCAGTTTTAGCAGTTAAACTGGTTTGGTATCTAGTCTCCGCCATCATGAGAGCCTCTTGAAGGGTATCAAACAAGGTTTGTTGTTCTTCAAGAGGCAAAGGCTCGGATACCGCAGGGGCTAATCCTGGGGGCATGGGGGCCAAACTGGATAGGATCTGGCTCAGAGACGGATATTCCATGCATTCGTTTCCTTGTACTTCTCTGATAGGTAGGCTACTTTGCTTCATGGAATTCCACATGTCATTCACTTCGTTTGGTGGGGCCATCTCTTGCACTTCAACTTTTGGGGCAGGAGGCATATAAAAAATCAAGTGAGGTATCACAGTTGTTCTAACGTGACTATAATGAGTACTCCGTTGGGAATATTGGTGTATGCTTCCAGAATAAACCCCCGAGGAGGGGAAGGGAAAAAAGGATATATGGGCAGGGTACGGTATGATGGATAAATAATGAGGAGCAGCAACTAGCGTATTAGGTTTGTTTTCTTGAGGTGAATATCGGGCGGTATCGTGTTTGTGAGATGTTCTTGGACTCCCAGAGTAAACAGGACGTGGGGTCGAAAAAATCCAATGTACTTTAAAGAGCTCCCTGTTTTAAGTGGTGAACAATAACTTGAGTTTAGCATCAGTTGACCTAAGGCGGACTTCGACAACAGGTGTACTAAAAGCTGTGAAATTTACCACACATACACTGTGCCACGTATATATTTATTGTACAGTACAATAAAGGCTGTATCGAGTAATGCGCTCTATTGACCCGGGACACAATAGTATGCGTAGCGATATAGTTACAATCTACATCTTTTTCTTCTAATTTTCCTTTCACTTATCTGAACTTTGTTACGCGACCCATCCTCACGACTTTCAGGAACTTACTATAATGTGCCGACATTGGATGTTGGTATTAGAAATAGGGAATCCACTCCCGATCAATTACTAGTACACGAGTACTAGTACGGTGAACTCGGCTGCCAAGGGCGCATCATGAACCCCTAGCACGAGTATCTGTCGTAAACGCAATACTACCTAGCAACATATCTGTCATTCCTTATTCTTCAGGTCCCTTACTTTGCTCTTTGACGCACCCTGATATATTAGATAGCTTTGTCTATAATCACTACATCAGTGCCGTTGTAATTTGCGGCACTTCTTCTTTAGATATTCAGTTGCAGCCTTTGTTCGCGATGACACGCGCTCAACAGACCCTCTCCGTTCTCCTACTCGTCTCTTCGGTATGCCAGGGACCGCACCCTTCTACTCATGCTATTACTAACGTGACTTTTTTCTTCCCTATACAGCTCTATCTTGTCCTCTATTTGGATCTTGTCCCCCTCAATGAAACAGTTCAAAAAGAGATCATTCCTGTCGTACGTCTGCTCTCTTCGAAACATCACTTGTTGATATTTCTGCACGCCACTAACACCAGCACAATCTCCCCAGCTTCCCTTCTACGCCTTAATATCGTTCGGATGTTACCTACTTGGCCGCCTAGGTGTAGCAATCTTGACATTCAATGATGTACCCGAAGCGCACGAGGAGCTGCAAAAGGAGATCGAGCAGGCTAAGGCGGAGTTGCGCAGGCAGAACGTTGATGTCGACTAAAGTGCCTTAATTGATCGGTTCGGTTGTGAGATACTGGCTTCCTCCTATTCAATGTATCATCAGAGCGGTCTTTATTCGGGACTCGGATGCCTTTCGCTTGTGCAACGGCCGCGAGGGTATTTAATACAGATATAGGCGAGATATTATTGTGGCGGCTTTACCACGAACCCCAGAGTGGTCCAAATCTGACTGTACTTGCCATTATTGTTGTGCTACTATATACAGGACAAATGCCATGAAGGCTGAAGGTTTGGCTAGTAGATCCGAGGTCTATAAGCAAGGAAAGGGTAGAACTGGAAGATAGCAGAAGGTTACAAAATTGGGAAACAGCTCCTTCCAACCGCATTACCCATCAAAGACAGCCCCCCCTTTTTTGCCTTTTAAAGATGTTGCACCTGTTGCACCTGTTGCACCTTTAAGTGTATCGTATTGTTTTAAACTTTCCTTTCGTTTTTATTTCTATCAATTGTCGTCAAGGCACCGTTTATATCGTGACATGCCCAGTCATCTTCTGGTCATGATAATAAGGACTATATGCAAGCAAATGAAAGCCAGAATGCATAGGCACAGAGAAAATGTTCATAGGGAATTAAACGAAGGCCTTAAAAGAGAGGGTTCTCCTTGGCAAAAGCATCGTGTTCATCAATATCCCTATTAGAAAGTTGTCAGCTACCGCGAGTCCAGTACTGGTATAGCAGATCACATACTTTGCTTCCCATGGATAGCAAATCCAAACATCGTCAGTGGTGACGGCAGCATGATAGCGACCAGAATCCATCATATCCGCAGGAAGTACTCCCTTCTTGGACTTGTTCTTGTTCTACTGCAGGGTTAGTATCGAGGCCAACCGAAAATTAAATGACTGTAAACAAGCCTAAGGATGACATACATGAAGCACAAAGACAAAAAAGTTCGTCTTTTCACCCTCCCGTCCAAGCTGCTTCTGTGCCTGCTCGACATCCTTCTGAAGCTCGCGAACCGCATATTCCAAGGTGGTCCGGGTGTCATCAACCTCGTCCACAATGAGTATGTTCTTGCCAATAAGATTTGCCATCTCTAAGGAGCTGAGATCCAACCATTGTGTCCGAGTCACCTTGGTCCCAGGAACCTCCTCGGCGTCACCACGACCCAGATCCTCGTAGAGCGACAGGCCGATGGCTTGAATGGGAATGTTGGGTTCGCCAGTGCGCTTGAGAAAGGACCTGTTGAGTCTCAGGTCAGACAGCCGCCTCTAAAAGGCAGTACATTTAACTGGCATACCGTAGAATACGAGCAGGGACATATCCGCCGCCGCCGATAGCAATCATAAGATTAGGATGAAAGGTGGTCAGAATCTTATCAGCTGAAGTCTGGCACAGCTTGTGCACCTAATAGAACAATGCATTAGCGAGTCAGGTTATAAAGGAGCGACGGGGTATCGACGTAGCGAAAACGGCCGCTCGCCTTCCAGCAGCCATCGACACCAAAAAGATATTCAACACACTCATAATTTGTATCAAATGTAGGTATAGCACCAAGACAGAGCTATTGTAGAACATCGAGGTAGACACACAATCGACTAGTCAACCTGGAAGCAAAAGACCATACCTGGTTATAGGTAACATAAACTTTTTGCGACATTTTGGCAGTGATGGGCTGTACCAATTGTATAGGCGAGTGCAGTATATCAATCAGAGATATTTGGCAGACAATCGAACAGACCGAAAACTTATCGTGGATGTTAAAAAAAAATGTAGTGCTTAAAAAGACTTCTGGCACACGAGGGGTAAAGGGAGGAGGGGAAAAAAAATTTAATCTGCGTCACAGTTTAACGTTCTTCCGCATCCACACCTGGCGATAGGAGTATGGAACCTTGAAAAGGGTCCATCGTCACGTCCATCAGGGCTATGTATCAGCCTTACTATATGAGGCTAGTTATACTGAAGAATGGCCTATTAGAGAATGACCATCTCGGCTAGTTTATTCCTCTTCTGGACTAGCGCTCTTAAATCTCAATTCGTCCAGTAGTCCCACAGTAGTACCTTCCTAACTACTATCCTAAAGTTCAATTAATCAAACTACTAGTGATCATAGGGGGTATAGGTACGCCCTATGTATTTTGTGCGGCGTGTACATTGATGTATCACACGTACAATGTTATCTATGCTTCCTCAAAGTATGAAAGCTTATTCTTTTACATTGTTCTTGGCATGAAGGAACAATTCGCCCTTAGGTAATCATACAGCTGATTCATAAACCGATGCCATGCTCATCTTCGTGGGTAAAACACGTAACCTCAAGCAGGACTATGATCACCTGGAGATTCTGGCTTGATATCATTGATCTCGAATCCACCCTCATTTTTATCCTCGCCTTTCTGTGGCCAGAGAATTTGGCGTAACACAATGGCACGGATCATCATATAGCAAACGAATATGTACATTAGTATGAGGGGCACGACCATAACACATCCTATAATCAGAATTGGCTTGCAGGAGAATGCGTGGCCGATGGCGAATGTCGCTGTGATCAGTGCCGTGTTCGGAAAAACAAATGAGAACCATCCCATAGTAAAGATCATCCGGCCAGGCCCTATAGCTGACCAATGAGCAAAACTCGCGATGAAAAAGAAAAATATAGCCAAGCTATGTATGAATCAGTCAACAGTTACATGACAATAACCAGGTTGGTGGCAAAGTCTTACCCCCACAGCCACAAGGCAGCAAAGTTGACAACTACCCTTACAACCTCTGCGGCCAAAGGTCCATTGCCCATGAAATCATCAGGAAAACACCTTTTAGCATTAGTAGCCATATTCACGAGTCCAGCGACTGTGAAAGCGCTAGGGCCGATAGAAACAAACATGCCGGGTCGAACGTTCTCCCTTGGGAGTTTTTGCGACATCAGTCTATATATGAAGGCGGAATATACCATCAGGGACACTAGAAAACCAACCCCTTGAATAGTTGTGCCACCAATTATAATAGGCAATGAGCGGGAAGGTTCAAGCTTTGAACTTAAGATACCAGCATGGGGACCGATTATCAGCAAAGGGTATGCGGGAAATATCCAAATCGGAGTCATTTGGGCGATGGTGAAAGTCTGCGTTGACCACCTAACTTGTCATCAGGATCTAGAGCATAACATCATTTGGCCAAAATAATTAAATGACCTACAGTAGGAGATATATACCGGCCGAAAATATGATGGCCAGACAGGCATCAATCCAGAACAATATCCCGACAACATGTGCAAGCCAAGGCCCTGTATTGTCTGGCCCATATTGCGAAATATTTATCAGAATTGTCCCAAATGAAACCACCGAGGCCGGGACAAAAAGGGACTCTGTTGGGTGCAAGAATGATGCTTTGAATGTATAAGGATAATGATAAAACCGCATGACCAACAGAACCCAGATGATGATATATAATATGATATTGGATAGGAAGAAAATGACACCGATTATCTGCAGACCTCGAAATCTATAGGGTACTACTCTCTGGTAAGCAAGACTACAGTCCCTAACCAAAGGCATGACCGAACTTACTGGCATGAAGAACATTGGCAATCCCACCAGTTGCCATTGTCAATGTGAAGAATGCCCAAGTAAAGTGACGTATCCTTTTTTTCCAACTGAGACTTACAGCTGAATAGTCGGACTCGCTGTAAGGATGCACGCCATTTACATCCGCGAGACCATCTCCTTCAGTCTTGCGGCACGAGGTAGTATGCAACGCTTCCAGCGCCGAGGAATGAGCCTGGCGTGCCCAGGCCCCAGCAGACGGATATAACGAGTTATCATTCCGTTGCAATGTAACAAAATCCTCGGCATCCTCAATTGTGGGGGTACGATAACCATCGTCGCCGGGTTTCGACATGTATCTATTATGTAGAAGTTCGATATCCATCATCATCACCCAAGCCCCACTACGTCCAGGCGACTATTTGTAGCAAAACGACTCGGCACTCTTTCTCCTTTCCTCCTCACATTACCTGTACTCAACTTAAGTAGCGAGTCTCGTCGCGCCTCCCGCTAAGGTGAGGTTACCGTAGTCTACCCTGTAACGAGGCGGAGCAGTAAGCACTTGGGGACACGGAATAAAGAATCTCAAGCGAAGAGACGAAGAATCTCGCGCAGGTACAAGACGAATGAATGATAAATAAAAGGTCCTGCACAACAGCGGCAAGATTTGTACAGTTAGTTCGACGGCAATAATTGCTCGCGCATGCCTTCCGGGATGTGAGAAATAAGAATAATTAATTGACAGTATAATCAGTAAATTCTGATGACTTTGGCTTTATATAATCTCCCGTCGGTCGCAACAAGTATTAGGTTAGCTGAATTCGGGTAATAGAGAGTATACCTGAGAATTGCAGATCCATTTGGCTTTCTCAGGTAGTGGGGTGGGAGTTTTTTATGGCCAATCATCAGACAACTTATGGATGAAGTTACAGTGCAGCCTGGCACTAAAATATATCTGGGTACCTACTACTAGAAGTACTGTAGTAAGTTGCCAGAACCACTCTGTACTGGTGCGCTCACCGCCCAGTGCTCTCTTCTAGCTTGAAAATACAGAATACTCGCTGTGTTTTCAATGCGTGTCTAACCTTGGGATAAATACAGGAGAGTTACAGGTATACATACTCCATAAAAAATCCAAATAGGAGATGATTCAATGAATAGGAAGTGTAGGGTAGGCCTATAAGTGTAAACTGTATTATAGAAAGCCGTTCTGTATATAATCTAGCTTGCTTTATGAATAATGATTCCTTGACTTCTATATTGAGGGATCTTTCAAAACACCCATAGAGTACGGAAAATTTCTAGTTACAATGGACTACTAACGTATTCGGTAAGCAGTCTGGTCACCTCTGTATTCCATATAAAATAGCATATTTTTGAATATCGATATCTCAACAAACTTATATTCTATCCATTTGTAACTTTATATATAGTTTAATCTATACTATAATAATAAGCTATCAAATTTATAGATACCAACAATATTTTATTACCAGGATAAAATAAATTACACTGTAATATATAGTATCTTTTGTATATAGCTATAATTTATCTTTCTAAGATTTTATTTCTACTAATATTTGAGATATATATAGAGACTATCTACATAAATACTGTAATAAATTAATAGATATATAAAATATAGAGTTGTTGAGATATCAATATTCAAAAATATGCCATTTTATATGGAATACAGAGGTGACCGGACTGCTTACATGACCGGACTGCTTACCGAATACGTTATTCAACTCTTCACTTACATTACACATATGTGATCGAGGCCCGAGGAATAATATATCTAATGCTACCTCCATCTTTCTTGTTATATTATCAATTTATATTTATCTTTTAATTTATATCTTCAGTCTTTATTTTATTTTTATTTTTATTTTTATTTTTGGGACAGGTCCCATCCAGAGTGAACCTGATGCTGACACAAGAATCTGACAAGTAAAAGAAAAGTTTAAAAAGGTGTAAGAGAGGAGGCTTGGCTTCGCGGGTGCTGAGTAAGCACTTTGCGAAGAGACCTCAACCCTCACGTACCCGCTGGGGTCACACAGGACTCCAGCGACATTACCATAAGTCAGTACAGAGATAGCTGGGACGACCGCGAGATTAAGCCAGACCTTTAATATCACACTATTTCAACAAGCCAGCCCTTTAAAAGGGGTAGAGAAAAAAGAATAACCAATATTGAAAGTTACTTATATTGTATCTTTCTGTGCTCCAATTTGATACTGGTAGTACTAGTACTAGTAGTAGTGGGCTGTAAACTGGATTCATCCATGCAATGTGCTAGTAGTGCGTGGTGGTATTTCGAATGGGAATTGTTATTTGGACCTCACGCTAAACTACAATAGGCCAAACATACATAGGGTAATGGTAATACTCAATATTTACCCGTTTTCTAAATGTAATATCTTTTAGCTTTTTCTGTTAAGGCAGAATTATAGTGTACACTGAAATTATATTTAAAAAAAGGATTCTTTAATAGAGTTTTAGAACACATGTAAAGATTATTTTAAATTATCTAGAGTATTCTATATAAGAGCTTTATTATATTATAAAAATAACTATAAAGATTCTAAAAAATAGAAAATAGTTAAACAAGTGATATTTGTAAGAGATAGAGCCAGGGCACCCTATTCCACAAGGCCAAAAGGTCATATAATTCGGGATCAACGATCCCGAATGTCTTGGGGGCATCTATATAGTATACCGCCGTTCCAATATTACAGGTACACTGTGTAATTATCCTTTCATTGTTTTTGCTCATGCAAGAGTTTCTTTCAGAAGCCAAACGCTTTGAAGCAGACCACAAAGGGACTAGTGTTGACCAGTGGCAGTTAAGTTTCCTTGGGTATACTTTAAACAAACAGGTGTCATACTTGAATACTAAGGTACAATGGTGTCTTTCTGGGTGCATTGGATATTCTAGGATGAGTTGGCGTATTCATTTTGCCTGTGCTGTAGGATACCCCATGCTTAGTGACGGCGAATTATGGGAAAGAGTTTAGCATTACTAACCAGGAAAGCATCTCCTTGACGGGATCCTTGCTGCTTGCCGATTTCTTTGAGCTAGTAATAGCACCCTAGTCTACAGAGTATTGCCTTAACA